AGGTCTCTTCCAAGCCAAATGATTCTACAATTCTATCCTCTAAAAGTTAGGGTGGTCTTTTTAACATGCCTGGGACAGGTCTCCTGGGGTTTTTCTGCATGGTGGGGTCTGAATATTCACACCAATGCTTAACAAAGGAAACATCTGGAACCATCACTCACATGTTGGGCTGGCTGAACTCTGATGTAAACCAAACTGGCTGAGCTGGTTTCCTTACTACCTTTGAGTCGATCTACTGGAAAACTCGGTGTCTAAGGTAGAGGTGACACCATCCCCGGGAAGGAACAGTGCGGAAGGGTGCCAAGGAGTCCCCAAAAATATTTGTTTTCCTGGTCCTTGGTGTCCTTCCTCCAGGCTGCTCTCCACCAGGACTTTGGTGGTAGAGTCTCAGAGTTGAAAAACTACAGAAAATAGGTCTTTTTAACAAAACAGCAGGTCAGTTTTACTCGTATCTCTCTCATTTTGGTGGTATTTTTTTTCAGGTTTACCCTTGGAAACCAGCTGTCTTTTTCTCTTCCAGAATCCACAAGAGCCTGGATTACCTAGAGGGCAGGGCCACAGTCTTCCACGCCCGCTACCTCTCGGCGTGGGCAGGCAGTAGCATGGGCATGAAGCCACCAGTGCCGTTGGGCCACTTTGTCCTGCCACCTGCCTGCCTGCAAGAAGGTCAGGAGGAATAAAAACCATCAAGGTCTTGATCCACACCCCCACGAGTGCAGCCTTTTGGGGGTGCAAACCAGAACATGCAGCTGCTTCTGCTCTAGGTGGAAGGAATTTCCCTCCTCATGATCCCAGCATGGACACCCTGAGGGACACTTCTCAGCGGTGTCCCCCTGGACGTGGAGCTGCTGGTAAGCAGCACCACGCTCTGGTTTGATGCTCTCACCGTTTGTTTTTTTCATTCATGGCAGAAATCAGAAGGAAAATTGGTTGTTTTATTTGGGAGCAGGCAGATGATCCACCGTCAGGAGAGGTAAGATGAAAAATTTTTGCTGCAGGATGAGTAGCTTGAAAAACTCCCGGTTGTATGGACTTCAGAACCTGGGTTTCACTCTGGGTTTACTTTATGGAGTGAAAAACATGGTTAGAATTAAAACCACGTTCTAAATTCTGATGGAAACCACAAGGAATAACAAAGATGCTCCTTAGGAGCAGGGCTCCAGGGGTTTGTGGCATTCCCGGGACCCTCGGAGCTCCACTTTGTATTGGCAGCCCAGCACGAATGTGAGGGAGGAGCCAGAGGCGGCGGGAGAAGGCTCGGAGGAGGAAGAGGAGGAGGACATGGTACACCTGGACAACAGGTATTTCCCACCCTGGGATTTGGATGTGATCCCCCCAAATTCAAGAATTCCCCAAATTTACCCCAACGTGCAGGAAGGAACACACGGGGTTGTTTTTTGCCTCCGATACAGCAGTGAAGAGGAAGCAACGGGCTCCAAAAGCCCTGCCCATGGGGAATTCCTGTACCGTGCCCTCTGGGAATACCCGATGAACAACATGGTGACAGGTAACACTCCGCTGGTTTTTAAGGTTTTCTTTCCAAGGGCATGGCTGGAATTGTGCCTAGAATCCCAGCTGGAAATCCCAGCTGGAATCGCTTCCTCCCCTTCAGTGTTTTCTCCTGGCAAAAGAGTGGAAAAGAGGCATCTCCACGGGCGTTTTTCCCTCTGGCATTTTTCCCTCCTCAGGCTACCCCTCCGCTCGAGACATGAAGAAATACGTCGGAGAGCTCCGGGACTTCACTCCCGGTGCCTCAGGGTACGCCGTCTATTGGATCCAGAACGGGATCTGCCTCTCCTCCCAGGGGAAGAGCAGAAAATGTTAAGTCACAGGCAGTTGTTGACCCCAAAAATTGGAAGTTTGAAGGAGCCGCCCCTGTCGTGTGGAAGCTGGGAGGGCTCCTCCCTCGCTCTCCTCCATGGAGCTAGGTCCAACAGAAATTTCAGTTCCTGGTTATGTTCACTGTAAAAATGTTGTTCTTGAAATATTTAACTTTCACAGCGAACAAATATAGACGTTTCTCCCCCGAAATGCAAATCCTTTGTCCGCGTCACATTTTGGGGGTACAGGCTCGCAGGGGAACATCACCCGGTGGCACAGCAGCAGCCACCCCTGGTGGGGCCGCCCGGGGATCTCCGTGGCTATGCAGAGGTTTTTGGGTGCAGGGCCCCCAGATGTCCCTTCCCAACACCTGGAGGTCTCCTCTGCCTCCCAGCAGAGCAGGATGAGGAGATCCAGGGAGGGAACCCCAAAACTCTTCCACACCTGCTGCACCTTGCTCCATCCCAGGACCGTGCCTCACTCTGTGAGCTGGGGAAGGAGAACAAGTCCCACACCAGGGCCTGTCTCCACCTCTGTGCATAGAAACCCACAGAAAAAGACTTCTCCCTTCATTTAAGCACTTTAAAGGTGACCACCATGGCTATAAAACCAACTTTTCTTCCAGCACAGCGTGACCTCCCCACACTCTCCACTCGTGCTGAGGGCGAAGAGCTCCAGCAAGCTCCCAGGAGCCACCACCACGGTCACCCTCTCGAGGTCCCATCAAATCCCTGCTCTGTACCTTGCGACTCAAAAAACCCAGAAAAGAACCCAAAAAGATGCTGGCGAATGGGAAGGTGTTGAGTGCTCCTCACCCACCAACACCTGGATTTGGGACGCGGCACCCTGAGGAACCTCCCTCCTTCTCCCTTCGGACGCAGGCTTCCAAAGACCAGGCAGCTGGAGATGGTTTCTCCACGTTTTATTGGAAAAGGGACATGTGAGGACTGGCTCAGAGCGCTCCTCGTGGCGTTTTGAAGTTCATCCCCACTGTGGGCTGTGTCACCTGCAGGTTGGACAAGCTCCCGAAATCCTGGAAAAAAAGCACAGGATCAGGATGGCCTCACACCACCCCAGATGCTTCCCAGGAACAGCAGGAAGAGCCAACGTGCTGTGGTAGCACCAAGGGTGGGTTCCCATCCCCAGGAAGATGGGGAGATGACCACCAGGCTCCAGAGGTCTGGTCTTTTTAGGGGTGAACCCACGTTCACCTCCACCCACCGCACTCACCCTGCAGGTGAGGTCCTGGGCAAAGCCACCACACCCCTCCCATGAGCCCTGTGGGAACTGATCCACCTGCAGGTCCCACCAGAGCCTTGAAGCCCTTCAGCCACCACCACCAAGCCCCTCGGGGTTGCTGGGGCCACTCACCAGGAGCTTCAGCATCTCCTTGGTGTCTGGGTCCACTTCAATGATCTCCTGGTCAAGGGCAGAGACCTGGGGACAGAGGAGAGAGATGTGGAGATGTGGTCTGACAAGGTGTCCTCTTCCACCACCTGAACCCCAGGAACCCGGGTTCATGACAAGAAGGGGTTCCACCAACTCCCCCTTCTCAGGGACATCTACTCTACTGCAGATTTTCATCCACTCAGAAATCTCCTCCTCCATCGCATCTGACTTTTTTCCTCATTTTAAGTTCAGAAAATCAAGGATGGACATCGGCAGCAGCGCTGAAGCACAAGAAGTCATCTGCTCTTCCCACCCCAGGCAGCAGTGATAGGAGGCCAAAACCCACCTCAGCTCCTCAACCCAGACCCTCCTTGGCCCAAACCTTCCTCAGCTCCTTCTGGCTGAGGTTTTGCTTTAAGGAAATTCAGTGCCCCAATGGAGAAGACACCTGGAGGCAGGGGAGGCAGACGCCCAAGCGGGTGCCCGAGTGCAGCCGGCGCCTCACCTCAGGGACGTAATTGTCTCTCCTCTCCCTCTCCTCCTCCTGCAGCTTGATGGAGATGCCTCGCACGGGTCCCCTCTGGATACGCTTCATCAGGTGGGTGACATACCTGTGGGGGATGCAGAGGAGCATCCAGGGCTTCCTCAGCACTCCCAGAACCCACAAGGTGCTTCTCCACCCACCCTCGTGCTCCCAAAATCCCAGTGGGCAGAGAGACGGACCTCCTGGTCGCTCCCAGCAACCCTGGCGAGACTGTCCCACCACCAACCCCAAAGCCACGTCGTCCCACCACCCCCGGAGAACCTCGCGGCTGGCCGCGTGTCCGACAGCAACAGGGTCTGGGTGGGAGGGGATGGGCCCCCACCCAAACACGGGGACGCTCTCGCCGTTCCTCTCCCTGCACTATCGATGACCGGGCCACGGGCCAGGCCTCGATCACTTTCGGATGCAGGTTCGGGGGGGAATCCCGGGCGGGCCTCACCCTGCGATCTTGTTGCGCAGCTTCTTGCTGGGGATGATGGCGATCTCCTCGCACACCCGCTTGTTGGTGTGGAAGTCGTTGCCCAGGCGGGTGTAGTACTTCTCGATGATCACCCGCG